AAACATTTTGTTCAAATTATGAAAATTATAATTATTTATTTAACACACCTCGTATTTTCTGCATACATGTACAAAAAAGTTTAGTTTGCTACATTACTTTTATTGCTCCATTTTTACACATCCTCAAATGTGGTTTTGGTTAAAAAGTGAAATAAATTTGCCGTTATCTCTTTCATGGGCCGAGTCAGCAAGGCAACTGCATTAAAAGCTGGAAAAAAGTTTATTTGGCATTCAAATCCTATTTATATACAACATCCCCCAGCATCTCCTTCCTTCAAATTAATTTTGATTGCCAATTTTTTTTTTTATTAGAAAAAACTACTTGCGCCTTTTACTTAGCAAACGCCGAAAAAAAAATGTGTAAAAAAGTACACATTAATTATTCCTTTCATGAATACAAAATAGTTTATTAACTTTAGTCTCCGCGCCATGGTTGGCACGAGGAAGGTTTTGTTGTGAGTTCAGTGTTTATGGTAAGGAATCATTCACTATGAGTTGCTCCCCTACAGCCAAGCACTTTATTCAAACCTGTGCTGTCAGCAATTGGGCCGACTAAAGGAAGCAATTGTCCAGAAGCGCCCAGCTTTTCCCAACAGTGGGATAATTGTGTTTCATCAGTAAAACGTCTTGCCACGCACATCGATAGTGTTTCATCAGAAGCTCCGAGAGCTTGGATGGGAGGTTCTTATGCATCCACCATATAGCCCGGACTCGTTACTTGACCCAATATATGAAATATCGTTAATTGTTTCGTATTTCTCCGAGGAGAAAATACTATTATTATTATAATATTATTGCTGAAGAGTGCACAGCTTCTGGTGTATGATATTGATGACCGCGCCGTGAGTTTTGCTTTCTCCAGACTCGTGAAAGAAGCGAAGCAAATGGATCTGTTATTGAATGAAAAATGTCTGTAAGACGAAATGTCTCCAGTCCTCAAGAACACAGTCATCGCATTCGGGACTAGGCTCCTACGTCACTGTTCACAGTCTTTAAAGTAGTAGATAACTTCGTCTATCTGGAACCAGTATTAACACCAACAATAGGGTCAGCCTGGAAATGCAATGCAGAATCACTTTTGCTAACAAGTGCTACTTTGTACTGGGCAGGCAATTGAAAAGTAAAGTCCTCTTTCGACGAAGGAAAACCAAACTCTACTATATGGCACAGAAGCGGTGACCATACCAATATCCGATGAGTCGGCGCTAGGAGTCTTTCAGAGAAAAGTTTTGCGAACGATTTTAAGTCCTTTTTTGCGCATTGGCAACGGTGAATACCGCAGATGATAGAATGATGAGCTGTAGGAGCTATACGATGATATTGACATAGTTCAGCGAATGAAGAGACAGCGGCTACGCTGCCTAGGTCATGTCGTCCGAATGGATGAAAGCATTCCAGTATTGAAAGTATTCGATGTTGTACCCGCTGGTGGAGGCAGACGAAGACCTCCACTCTGTTGAGTGGCGACCACAAACACAAAATTTAGCTTAAGTTCGCAAGCTAACCACTCGTCCATTGCAAAAAAAAAAAAGTTCGGCATGACCGAATGCATCGATTCTTTCTTGTTTTATATTAATAATTGACTGTTTTATGAGTTATAACTTTTTCTGTAAATATAATATGTTCATGGCTTTATGTACATTCAACTTTGTGCTTTACGCCGCAAATCATGCAACAGACCGTAGCATCAGCGGATTGTGCAGCATAATTTAAGTCGCTCAGATTTTGTCTTCTCTTGTCTACTCACATAAGCATAATGTTATTTATGTAATAGTTCTATCTTTAAATTGCTCTAAAATGCATAAAAAAGATTCATGAAGCGGAAATTTTGCTGGTACTGCCGTACAATAATTCTATACCTACATTCAGGCGCTTCCTGCTTGCTCGCTTTGGCAGTTGCACAATGGCGCATGGATATGAAATACATGTAATGGCATAGATTGCTAAATGTGTGTTCTTATAAAAATTTATGTCAGCCTACATATCGTACGGATAACTGAATAAAAAATACACATTTGTGGAAAAAGTTCAGTAACACTGTTATCTTGTAAAGATTTGTAAGTGATATTTGACAGTCTTACTTGGCTGCAAGTCAACTTATTCTAAATGGTGTTTAATTTTACAAAAGTACTGTTTGCCAACATAAAAATAATAAAAACTGAATTAATTTTGGTTATTAATATTTTAAACTAAACAAAAGAAGTAAATGATAAAACTTTTACATTTTTTTAATAGTATTTTATTTGTAACAAAGTGGCACCATTTAAGAAAAAAATAGGAAATAAATTCATTAATAATATTTGGTCCAGAGACCCTTATTTTCGGAATATTATTCCACTCTTGTTCAACAGACCCAAAAAAAGATCGTCACAGTTGGATGGGGCTGAGTGATACCGCCCGAGCCGTCGCTTTACGATTGACCATAGGTTTTCAATCGGATTGAGGTCGGAACTTTGCCAAATTTTGGTTTCCCATTCCTTAACAATTTTCGCATTAAGCTTGGGATCCCCATCTTGCTGAAAAGTGATTTCCTGCCTTTGGGTACGCACACAGCTCAAGAAAATTGGTTAGATGGGTTTGCAAAATGCTCAAATAGTCTTTTGTGCAACGATTCAGCATGTGAATGCGTGAAACACTCCCATGACATTATGTTGCAGCCTCCATGATTCACGTTTTGCTTCACATGATGCCTATGAAGCTTGTTATCAGGTCTCCGCCAACAGTATTGCTTTCCATCCGATTGAAAAGGATTAAACTCAGATTCGTCCGACCAGATATCACGCTTCCAGTGCTCTATTATCGAATTCTTGTGTTCTTTGGCGAATTTTAGCCGAGCTATAACATTTTTCTCGGATAAAGCTGGTTTGTTTTTTTCCACTGCTGCGACGTACCCAATCTACCAAGCGCTCTTCTAGCTGTCCATCGACTTACGCCTTTATTTATTTCTGAATGAAGCTTATTTTGGCGTTAAAAGCAAATTATCCTCATTTTAGACATCATTTATCACAAACATTTTGTCTTTTCTGCAACCACTGATTGACTAATTTGCAGCTTCTCAGCAATAGTGTGTGTCGAATACCCACTTTTTGTCATGGAAACAATACTATTTTCTTTATCAGAAGACAGCTTCTTCATTTTACAGTGAAAAGTTAGAGACTAAGTTCCAAATTCAACAAATCAACTATAAACTAGTTGCAAGAGAGTGATTTTCTGAATTCTGACAACTAATAATAAACGCAAAAGGCACTTAACGGTAAATCTGCAGGTTTATTGCTGATAAGAGAGTAAGAAAAAATATGAGCGAATAACGGATGGTGCAAAATTGAGTACAAGCCGCTTGTTTTGGTTTTTAAATCATAACTATTCCATTTCTTCTTTTTCTATTTTGCTATATACGGCTATTTTAAAAAATATACAAAGTTTTCAATAAAAAAAAGTTTTTGTCATTTACTTTATTCGTTTATTTATGTGAGCTCAAACATGAAAACGTTGATCGTGGCGCTTTGTAACCGCTACAGAGATTTTTTCGGCCGAGCTGCTCCTCCAATTTGTTGTTTTGCGTATTGATGTTTTTCCAAGAAATGGATGGACCTCCGGGTGTGTTGGTTTTTTTATGAGGAGCTTTATTTCATGTCCGAAGGAGGTGGACATTCCCTGCCGAGGAGCGACCGAAATTAGAAAATTCAACTTAATTTTTATTTAAATTAATTTTCAATAACTTTTGGATGTTTGTGATCCTCACATTAACAGGCACTCGAAAAAACGGTCCTAAATTGTAACATTAAAGAAAAAAAATTTTTTATTGTCAAATTAAAGCTACTTTCAGAATAAAGGGTTTTCCAATAAGAGGTGTAATTTTGAATAGTCTGTCATTCCGGTAGATGTCACATTTGCGGCTGTAATTTTTTGACATTTGACAATTAAAAACTATGCAAGTAATAAAAATGGAATGGTGAAACCTTGTCGGACCTCAATACAGAAATTGCTGGAAAACGTGAACCGCATTTGGAACAAAGACTTAAGACTTATAAAGCTCAGTCTGTATTCGCTGATTGGGTCTTTGAAACGTCTGATTCGAATTTTCATCCAAAAAGACAGATGAGGCCCATTTTCACACCGACGACTTCGTCATTGAGCAAAACTGTTGCCTTTCCATCGCCATCGTGTAACTATTTGGTTCGGTTCATGGTCCAGCACGGTCATTAAGGCAATATTGCGCTATCCACAGATGAGGACAACGTTTACTTTCACTTGCCACGCAAGCAAGGAAACTATCGATCTTTCAAGGAAAGTTTTTTATTATATTTTTTTTTTTTTAATACGAAGGCACCTAAAAATATTTATTTTTATTTTAATTAAATTTCACAATAAAAATATAAGGGAGCACCAGAATTTTTTGTGATTTTTGGTTATTTAACTTAACTTTTTATGTACAAATTTATTTAGTTATTGTTTAATGCCTAAGCTGGTGATACTAAAAGCCTCAAGCTGATGATACCAAAATAAAGAAAAAGCCAAAAAATCTCGTGCAAGAAAAACACTAAACATTTTGTTTACTTATACATATGTACACATACATATGTGACTATCAAAACCTGTCACAAATTTTTTAGTACTCTTTTGATTGAAATTGATGGAATGTGAAGAACGTCTTTTTCGAAAATTTGCTGATCTTCTATATTTTTTTTTAAAATTTTTTTTTTTAATTTTATTTTTTGTGTTTATTCTTTTGCTCGCATCCTTGTGAGTTCGCCTTGGTTATAACGAGGCGTGCCTTTTTATAATAACTACTTGTAATTTTTAATGATTTCAAATGACTTCTAAATTTGGATATTTTTATTTTTATTTAAAAAAAATGAAATTGCTCACATAGAAAGTGTATTTTTTATTTTATTTGTTTTAAGACAAGAATTATAAATTTTATCAGTATTTAAATATACATACATATATATATTTTTAAATATTTTTTTACATAAATATATTATATACATATATTATATTAACTAATAGGACCTTCAACTACAAAATATGTACATATATACATATGTATATATGTACAACACTATATACTTTATTTACGAAATTGTTTTCTATACCTCATTTTATCCAAAAACGAACGTAATGGTCCAATCATTGTAAAAATATATACCAAAACTGTGGCTAAACTTATGACAGCAATAAATTCCGGATCCATATATTTATATGCGAACTTTGTGCGATAGCCGAGATATATTGTAAACATGCCCAGGGTAAAGGTCACCATACCAAAGAAATTGTGCCTGTATTTTATTGTTGCCGGGGTATATACTTTAAGTGCCAATGTCGGTTGAAAATAATTGACTAAGCCGCCGATGATACTGGCAATGCAGAGGAATGTAGCAGCAAGACCTGGAAATTTGTAATGAAATTATTTTTCTTTTTGTTTCAATGCAGTGCAGGTAATACACATTTGTATATATTATACATGTATGTAGATGTGTGTATTTTTTTGTGTTTATTGTTTGTTTGCTAAGAATGGTGCTTATAATATATTGCAAGTTCGCAACCTTGACTCTTACCAATTTTGCCATGTAATGTGGAGAAATGCAATTCTGTCTGCGAGATTTTACCAAACGAGCCGAGCAATGCCAGTGAACCGCCCACCATTAGTAGTACGCCATGAATTTTTGATTTAGTACGATGTGAGAAACGATTTGTTACGAAGTTGATTGGATAATGCGACATTAGTCCTTCGGCCATTAGCACATTGAACTAAGAGAAAATAGGATAGAAATATAGGATTAAGGTATATTTTTTAGCAGTAAACAAATTAATTCTATCTTGATAAAAAGAAACATAAGACATGGCCAATACTTTCGTTTCCAAATATCCTCAGTATCATGATAAAAATATTCGTAAAATATTTTTTCGACACTTGCCAAAATGTAATTTAGTCGCCCAAATATAAATATTAGTCCCCTAAATATATAAATACTTATATACATGATTTCGAATAACGTATATTTTCCGAAAAATTATTGTCTATATTTGCTATTGTACATGATTGTACATGCCATTTACATGATTGAGTTGAAAGTTAAAAGGAAGGTTAAATACTAACGAACTTCGAAATATTCAAAATTTGTTCCCAGCGGTTAAATATATACATATGTATGTTCTCGGATGTCATTTCTAGCAATATAATTATTTTCTATGAAAGAAATATTTTTTGTATACCAGATGTCACCCATCTGAAAAATCAAAATTGGCTTTTACAGTGCAATATAAAATTTGTCGATCAAAAGCAAGCATATTTCTCATGTGCTTTTTTACCTCTTGAATTCTAAACATTTTTCCATTTTTCTTTCAGTGTAAGAATAGTAAATAGTAAATGTATTGACTAAATGTTGCTCATACGACATGGTAATCTTGTTTATTTCTAAGTTAAGTTTTCTTATACAGGCTTTTCCAATAAGAAATGTAATTTTGATACTCAAAGAAACGTGACATTTTTTGAGCTGAATGATCGTATGTATATATCAGTGTAATGAAATTTTTCATCACCAAATCGCAAAGTCTGTATGCCCTCAACAGCTACACGAAATCCATCTTTGAGGTCTTAAATCGACGTTGGCCTGTTGGCGTAGATCTTTTCTTTTACGTGGTCCCAAAGTAAGGAGTCGCAAGGTGTTAAATCACAAGATCTCGGTGGCCAATTGCGTTCATCTCTACTAGAGATAACACGGTCCGGAGACTTTTTCCTCAAAAGATCGATTGTTTCGTTACTTCCATGGCATGTAGCGCCGTTCTGTTGAAAGTAAACGTAATCATTTCCCCATAGCACGCTCTCAGCCTATTTTTTTCCAAAAAAAAAAAAATAAGGTTCAATGACCCCGGCGGGACCATAAACCGCAGCTACAGAACAGTTACACGTCGAGGATGGAGAGGCTTTTCAATAATAAATATTGAGTTTAATAAGACCCACGTGAGACAGTTGTGCTTATTTGCGTAGCCATCGAGATGGAAATGGGCTTAATCAGTAAAGCAGTGTTTTCGATGAAATTCTGGATTATTTTCATGCAAAGAGGTTGGATTGATGATTGGGCTGGCTCGAGTACTTTTGTTAACTTAAGACCCAAAACTTTATTCCAAAGAAGGACGAGAAATTACAGTAGCAATATATTCTCAGTTGTTCTTGAGCGACGTTTACGTGTTTTATTCTTCGCATCACTAACTAGTCCCAACAACAACATTTTCCCCACTTATTTCTGCACAGAATCACCATTTTTGTAGTAGGTTTTAACAATTTATACGCGTTAAGCTGTTGTAAAGAGAACTGTTTTCATAATTGTCTGAATTTTAACTAGAATAAAACATGTTTAATTTGACAAAAGTAAAAAAAAAAACAGCTCTGTGCTTTTGAAGCCCCGAAATGTATAAACCTATATTATTGATCTAACTACTGCTGTGTCTGTGTGTGTTACTTGTTCGCTGCTCAAAGCCTTTCATGAAGATATCAAAGCGAATACTTCGAAGTAAGCCAAACGAACGAAGTAAGCTTATTCACACTCAAGTTGAACGTATAGAAATAGCTTGTCACCCTCAGCCGCAGCATAATAACATTACGTAGCAATCATGACTATGCACAATCTATGCTTATATCCAAATCTTTCAAACTGTCTCTTCTTCGTAAGGTAGTTATTATTTATATTTCGAGCAAAACCAAACTTGGTTCCGGGTCCCAGGTCCATATCCGGGAAACAAAACGTCCTATATATCATCCTAAAATTTAACCAAACCGAATCATAAATAAATTTTCTTCTATTAGATCGCTTTAAAAAAAAAAATAAGAATTTCAAAATACATAAACGGTGCGGTGCTTTCAAATACGTCGGTCTATGGTCAATTCCCGGATATTAAAACCTTCCCTAAACTTCCACAAATATTTCAAGATCAAAATTAGACGAATCGGGTAAGCGATTCCTGCGTTATTCGTGTCATTATAGTTTTGCATTTAATACTATTGCCTGAAAAATGATAAATTTTGACTTTTGTCTCTTTTGCATACAGTGTACAATACATACAAATTGAATAGTCATGATTATATGCATATATATTTTATCAAACAGATGTCAGCATGAGAACTCATAATCTACCAACACATCAGTTTTACTAACGTAACTAATACAAATTCATTACATTTTGAGTAAACATTTTTTTATACTCTTTCTTTAAATTAAATTGCTCTCAACATACCCCGATAATGGTTAGAAATGCATGCATCGCGGTATTTTGAAAGTCCAAACTGCGTCCCAATATGGTGATATACAGAGCAATTAGTCCGATTAGAATATGATTGATAGTATTCACAAGGCTTTGTAGCTGCAGCCAGATGATATTGGCCGCACTACTATTTCTACCACTTGTACTGTTCGAAGCCGACGGCATATTTTTGTTAGTCACGTTTGCACTTTGTGTTGACATTTTACTTTATTATTTTCATTCAAGTTTTCGCAATTCTTATAAAATTAAACTTTGTGTAAGCACTTTTCAGTAAAGATGGTAAATTACTACTACTCAAAAATTTTATTCCATATGTTGAGAAATGTTGTGTGTTTGGAGCGTAGCAAACGTCTTCTGAGTTGATAAGTTTATTCATTCTTAATGCTGTTTATTGCTGGCCAGCTGATTGTGTATTGAGTGGTGAGGAGGCCAGCGCAAGAGTGCGTGTCACTTTAATTATAAGAGAGCAAGAATGAGTATAGTGAAATTTAAGAAAAAAGACCCCATAGGAAAAAGGTGAAGAGAACTAGGGCCAAAAAAGTTACTTGAAATTGTTTAAACATAAATTATGCATATCATTAAATTTATTATAAATTATTGATAAAAAAAAATATTTGTTAAAAAATGTGTAATCAAAAGTGTTGTTACTTTCATAACACAAAAAAAAGAAACATAAAGCTCGAATTGCTATAAGCTATTCGAAAAATTTTTAATAGTCAATTGTTAATCAGTATTTGATATATTTTAGACGCACAAACGGATTGCTTTATATGTGGCCGTTCTACAGTCAATAATTTAGAGGTGCATTCCCAAAGTAGCATGCCAGCATTTACTTATGGTTGGCAAGTAAATATTATTTACCCTGCTTTAGAGAAGCTTTTGACATGGTCTCACATAATATTCTGCTGCGAAAACTCGAGTGCTTAGGTTTTCATTCATTTTTTATCCCATGGTTGGGCTCTTATCTGTCCAATAGAGTTTCGTTTGTTGAGTTTGAAGGTAATAAGTCTTGTGCTTTTACAGCAACCTCGGGTCTTCCTCAGGGGAGTATACTTGACCCTAGTCTATTTTCATAGCTTATTAGTGACATATTAGGCACGTGAAATTTTTACTTTATGCCTATAACTTAAAGCTATTCATCAAAATAACTTGTGCATCTGATTTTAATTTAATACAACAAAATCTAATTAACTTCTTGGAGCATCCAAACAAACTCTCTCTTAATCTTAAGAGATGATTCCCTGTTACTTTTTTGAAGACTCAAAACTGTTTCCTATCTTCACATAATCTTTTCAATGTGAATTTTCTCAAAGTTAAATAATTCTCTGATCTCGGAATCACTTTTAACAGTGGTTTCTGATTTGTTAACTGTATAAGTTACATGGCTCTAGAGACTTATTTAAATTTAGCATTTTTACGACGTTATGCCCTTATAAAAGTTGATTATTTAAGAGATATAGGAAAATTTCACAAAAAAACAAACACATGAATTCAAAAAAAGCTTGAAATCTTTATTTAAATCGATAGTAACGTCCATATAATATAATGTTTGAATATTATTTCATGCAAATGTTGACCGTGACTGCGCCTCAAATGATCCATCTGCATCATCTTTGAAGAAGTTCGGTCCAATGATGCCACCAGCCTATAAACCGCTCCAAACTGTGACTTTTTCTGGAAGAAACGCGCAATGAACTTTCTTAATAGAGCACGCATTTTGATAATAAAATTCAATAATTTGCAAGCGTTGTTCGTTTGTAAGACCATTCATGGTAAAATTATAGACCAAACTGAAAATGTTTGACAGTGATAAAATTCACGAAACGTGTGTCCGCTTTTTAAGCCAGCGTTGCCAAAAAGATAATAGTCTAAAAATCAATCTTCACTAAGAAAATTTTGTTCAAATCTTTAGCTTGCTTAAAGCTAGAATGTGGCTCCTTAATTAGGAATCCAGTGTACTCAACACATACCAATATAGTGGAAAGGCTGTATAGAAATTTGATCAGTTTTGTCTTCAATCACTCCACTTTGCTGACCCATTAAGCTTACAGCGATCGGTGTAGGATTATATCAATAAAGTCTCTTTGCCATAGACTCACTTTGTAGTCTATAATGTTTATTTTTATATCATTTCTGGTTCTTTTCATTGCCCAGAATTTCTTGAATAGATCAGCTTCAATGTCCGGCGATCCCTCCAATGTGAAGACAGCTAAATCAAATTATAATAACATTTTCCCGATTATTTGTGCATTGACTGAGTGAATTTAGTCAATAAAAACTTTTAAAGAGATTTCGCCATGTTAAGAAATGTTTTTCTTAATACTAACTTAAATTCTTATTATTCTAAGTTTTTCTCTCTTTGTACTCATATAACGGGCGTATATAGGATTTTATATTAGTTCTTTATCGAACTTCACATGTGTTTAACTAACTTATTTGATTCATACATTACTTACAAATATTTACATATTATTCCTTAATACCGATAATTTCTATTGATAAATGGGCATGAAATGGATTTTCAATTTCCAGTTGGGTGCTCTAGTGATAAACATATGTTTATGATTACAGGGCTGCCAACTCTAGGTAGTCCATATTCCAAACTTTGCGTAAGAAATATTTTAGGAAACAAAAATAAAATTAAATACAATGCAAAACATCTTAGATATATTTGGCGATTTGTTTTCAATTAGTGAAAAAAATTTGATTGATTCGAATGTAAAAGAAATTAATGAAACTAAAATAAAATAAAACGAAACGGGATGTGCATAAAGCCCACACTGGAATTCTTTTTTTTAGCTATCTACGTATGTGTGCATATGCATGGGTTTGAACATATTAAACAATATTTTTAATTTTTTATTTTATTTTATTTTTGATCATAGTTTTCATAATCACTCATTGTTGTTGCATGTTGAAGGCTCTGTTACGTTATTATTCATTTGTAATTCTAACTCATGGAGGAATTGTATTAGGGGTGCTGATCGTTTAAGGCAAAATTGACATTAAAAACTTTTGTCTAAATCAGTGGAAAAATATGATAATTTTTCACCCAAGACTTCAATTATTTAAATGCATAATTCTGCACTGTGTATTCGATAAGCGAACGTAAGTCTCCTACTCTCTGTCTTTATCAATATTTAGCTCACCTAGGAGGTTTTATATTTTCGTTATTGATAATGAATTCATATATTACAGAAAGATATTTAAAAATTTTAAAATGATTACATATGTACTTTTTGGCGTATATCTCCCGCTCAACTTCCATTTCCTATTTTGAGTACAAACACAAATTTAATCTTTTTGCTTTGCCCAGAAATGTTGTATCTAAAGATGTGTGCCCGTTGTTCTTAATTTTCCGTAACACATATACCAGCTTACTCCTCAAGTCCAGCGCACGAAAAGAAGTTCTATATTAATAAAATGTATAAAATTAAAATAAAATAAATGTCGTATGGCATAATAAATTTTGTTGAAAAATTATTAGATAATATAATACACATTATGTCAGCATCATTATGTGGAATTTTTTTAAATACTTCATTACATAGGCAACTCTGTCTTGTTTTGTACCTCTACTTTGTGTGCCCATCAACACGTTCATACAGGTGAATATGTGTATTTATTTATATGCATACGAAAGCGTGCTTCACTCTGTTTATCGCTTTGTGAATTGCTGCCAGCTCAACACGTCTGGAAATGCCTTTTTTTGTGTATACGGATTTTGAGAGACTCAATTCTCAACAATCAACTCAAAGTCGAGGCACTCAATATGCCGGTAAAGCACTCATTGCTTTTGTGCTCTCTAATAAAAATGGCGGCAGCGGTAGCCGAGTGGTCAACATTGCGTACTACCACTCGAAAGGCTCAGGTTCAAATCTTGTTACGACCAACATCCAAAAGTTATAGAAAAATAATTTAACAAAAAAATTAAGTTCAATTTTCTAATCGCGGTCGCCTCTCGGCAGGGAATGTCAACTCCCTCGAGTGTATATCTGATATGAAAATAAAGGCTCCTCATAAAAATAAAACGATCAGCCGTTCGGAGGTGGCTTAGTATAAACTGCAGGATCTTCCATTTGTTGGAAAAACATCAAGATGTATATCACAAATTGGAGGAGGAACTCGGCCAAAAATTGCTTCAGGGGTTACAAAACGCCAATCATATATGTATGTATATTATTACGATTTCAATATGCGTTGATTATGAAAATGAGGCTCATAAACCAAATTGTCTAGATATAATTAACTTGACACCGACGACTTAATTTTCGTAAACATATGTACATATGTTGAGTTTAATAGCTAAAATGTTTTACAGTATGAAGCGCCTAAAAGAATGCAAACATTGTTAATATTGAAACTTTTTTCTCACGTTTTTCTTTCAGATGAAGACCCCGCCTTTCCGGCTAGCGAGCTCAACACTCACGGTCCGACAGTACATGGTTGGCGTAGCGCTGCCGGCAGTACAATCACACCACACGATATCGTACTGCGATTTCACAAGCCAGCCAAAATATGTCGCATACAAATATTAGCACATCAGTTCCTTATACGTAAGACTGTTCGAATTAAAAAATCTCGCAAATTAAATAACTTTAACTTCTTTCCCTCTTTCCAAACCAGCGGAGAAAGTTGAGCTGTGGCTGCACTACTCACCCAAAGGCATACCGAGCACACCATCCTCACAGTGCTTCGATTTCCTTGGCTTTGTCGCACTCTCCGACAATGCGGCCACCAACTACAAATCGCGCGAACTACAAAGCGTTTCTGTGACTCCACGCCGTGGCACTCATCTCAAGCTACGTCTAAGTACAGCGCATCACAACAACTACAATCCGGATGGACAAATAGCGTTGATTGCAGTTAATGTGTTGGGTGAAGAGTTGGAGAAAAATGCAGTTGTTGTAGCAGCAGATAGCACAGCGCAAGTGGAGGGATCCGCCAGCAGCAATGGTAACACGAATAGCAACGCGCCAACGACTAATGAAATAAATAATACCGATTTGGCTTCTGCGAATGGCGCTACGGCGGAGCCTGCTTTGGTATCCATTTGTGACGATCTACTCTTCTCCATGTACGTGGAAGAGTCTATAGCGGAAATCATACGTGAGATGGAGGAGAAGAAATTGCAAGCCGTCGGCGTGGAGCGTTTTGAATATGCACGCAAATTGAAGTTGTGCATGACAGCGCTTCGCGCCGCTGGAGAACGTTTAGGTCGTTATGCATTGGCTAAGCGTCAGGCAGTGCAGCAAGAGGACTTTACTACGGCAAAATTGCGCAAAGAACAAATTGAGATGTATAAAACACTTGTGTTGAAACATTTGTTGGTCACCGAATTGTTGGAGGCAAACGGCTTTAATGCCTCCAACGATATGGCGAGCGAAGTATACGCAAGCAAACCAATACTACCACCAGCGCCAAGTTTGCAAGATGTCGCACAAGCTCTAGCCGAAGCGCACTATCAAACAAGCACAATGAGCCCGAAGAGCGTGCAAGACGATCGTTCCTCCACAGATGGATGTAGTCTGAGTGGTGGAGCAGCGCTTTCGGCGCCTAATGTTAGTGTAGCGCAAACTAATACAAACGATAGTGGTTCACTGCAAGCAAACTCAACGCTACGGAAATCACACGATGACATACCAATCTCGCCAAAGTTAAGTAAAGGACGCAGTCCCAGTCGTCACAGTTCACCCATGTCCAGTCGTCAGGGTTCGTTACGTCGTAGAAACAAGAGTGCGCCCCGTAATTCTTATGAAGATTATGAAGAGCGCGCTGTACCCGCGTTGAGGCAGTAAGTTTGCAACGGTTTTTTCCGTAGTTGCGTATCATGTGATAATGGACAGTAAAATGAAATTGTAGAGTAGTTAACAGATAGACAAAATGTAGAAAAGATCTTTCCTTATAAACTAATGCTAAAGTAGTGCGCGCTTTTTATGTTTAATAATAATAATAAGCCCAACGAATATACTCCACCCACCCAACCGACACGAGAGGCGACATCCGCACAACGTACGGAATATGCCGAGTCATGATTAGGAAGCGTTTGTTAAGTGTCAAGATTTTAAATTGTTCAATTACAGAAAAAGTATTTATTTCACAGCTGAAATTTAGTAATTATCGAATTTCAAAATTTAATTGTAGAGAGAGGTAAGAATAGTTTTTTTGATGCTGAAAAGTCAGTCTAAGAGATAGCAGGTACTGGAATAAAAATTAAAATTGTGACACAGTCGGCGAAAGGGTTCATTCATGTCATAATTTGTTTTACATGACTTTAATAGTAAAGGCTGAAGAGATTCTAAATATCTTTCAATAAAGTAGTACAGGGTTGTAATTCATCATTGAACCCGGACAAACTTAAAAATCAAATTGCCATAGGTCAAGTTATGACGGACAGCGGCTCAGGTTGCGGGATTCAAAATAAAAAACTCGAGGAAAATGTTATAGGAGCAACACAAATAGACGCTCTGTTCAAGTTCTACCTACACCTTGGCTCATCCTCTGATATCTTCATTTCAAAAACGAAGTTAAGAAACTTAAAGTAAAAGTAGATTTCCCTTTCTATTAAGCAAAAAAAAAAAAAACTAATTCCAAATCATTTAAAATTATATACGTGTATGTATACATATTATGTTTATACGATATTCGAATTCCTCCCATCAGCCGATTTTCTGTAATAGAATTTTTGCATGATAATCAGTTAATTAAAACTCATTAGATTCATCACTTCATGATTTAATTATGTGTTACCAAGTCCTGCGGTAAAAATTAGAAATAAAAATTGATAAATACTTAAGAGCTGAATTTTTTGCTCGGGCTAGAAGGGAGTCAAAAGTGCTCTGGTCCTGATATAATCTCAAAAATTTTTAATTTACCGCAGGATAATAGTAACTTTTATGTAAATTATGTACATATATATTTGTTTATTGTAGAGTATGCATTACGCTCTAGACATTTCATAAACATTTCGGTGTACTTTTAGTTGATTTCTGTTCTTTCTTCTTTCTTTTATGTATGAAAATAAAATTCCTATATCGTTGTTTGTTGCCAACGTGCTCGTACTTACATACATATGTACATATGAATGTACCCACCACATGTATATCTATGCATTACATTCTTGTACTGCAGTTCAAATACTAATGAATTTTTAAGGGAATGCCAAGGTACCGCATTGCTGGAGGCCGATCCCAATCGTGGGCGTTCGCGCTTAAATGATCGTGAACGTCGACAGGCTGCACTACCGATACTGGTGTTTGGAAATGACATGGTAAGACAAATGCTCGAAAATGATTTTAAGAAATCTTGCTAAGAACTATCTCTGAATATTCTTTTTTGCCAGGTCGAACAATTCTATTCCCGTCAATTTCAAGATCGCGAGGATGGTTTGATAAGTTTGCGTAATTTCCTCAAGGGCGTAGACACCGAGCAAACAAATCCGAATGCCAATTCTAATTGCAATTCAGGCAGCGAGAATACCGCCGGTCCTAATAAAGTGGCACGAAGTGCTGCGTTACTGCTTCACCGCGCCGTACGCGATGCCGTCTACTCGGTATTTAGTCAAGCTACTGAAACTGTGCGCGTACTGTTTCTCGAATATGTGCCTGGACGTGTATCACAAAGTGAAGTGGCGCGTTGCGTCGATCGCTTGTTGCCCGAGCTTTTAGCAAAATCTGGTGATCCATCAGCACGCATTCATACTTTGGCTCAACACACAATACTCAGTATTGCGGCTTGTCCGGAAGTGATTGAACAGCATCTGGTGGCGCCAGCACTTTCACGTAGCGTAAGCTCGGGCACACATCCGCGTTTGGCCCTGAGTCGCATGCAAATGTTGGAGCAGTTGGTACTCAGTCAGGGCATCGGCACGGACAAGCATAGTGGTCTGACGTGTCGTGCACTCTCGGAGTGTGGCTGCTCGGGCATACATCACCCGGCTGAGCCGGTGCGTAAGGTAGCCGAACGCATACTGTTGCTGGTGTATAAGGTGAACCCACGTTTGGTGCGCAAACAGTTGCCACCCGATGACGATGTAACTAGACGCAATTTGTTATATCGACAACTGTTCGCCGAATTTGATAAATTAGATTTAGAGCGTAAGAAGGATATGCTGGAGGCAAACAAATATTCGTCACACAATAACAGAGATCCTATCTCACCACCACCACATCGTGGCCGCAATGAGCTGGAGCACTTACAACAGGCAACAGGTAGTGGTGGCGGCAGTAGTTATGGTGGCGGCGCCGGAAGTGGAAGTGATAGTCGCAGCAGTCCTTATGGTTATATGTATAGCACAAAATCTCCAGACCCACAATCGAGTCCAATGCGTCGTTCGGAGACGCGTATCTTAAAGAGTAAAAGTGGTCATGCACTGGGCGGCACAAATGGTTATGCGAGCGGTAGCAGTGGCGGTGGTAATGGAGTTGGTAGTACTGTGAGTGGTAGTGGTGGAAGCGTTGTAGCTACATTTTCCAACTGCAATGGCAAGCAACAGTATAATGAGCAATTAAAACGTTCAATGATATCTGCAAGTAACTCGAGGAAAGGCTCAAACTCGAACTCGAATTCGGAGTCACTGGAGGAACCGCCAGATTTGATGTGAGTGTAATGAGAATAATATTATTCTTAGCTAAATTTGAACAATATTTGGAGGGGAGTTACAGCCGTAAACACTTTTATTTCTGGACTTTACTCGTATACCGAGCCGTCGAATCATGGTCAGGCCTTTATTTGCAATTAATTCAATCGCTTACACGATTATAGTCGAATTAATATTAATGCACCATTCATCCTTTCTGTTTGGCTCCAGTTGGAATTAACAGGAGAAACCAGGTCACTTTCTATCTGATTCTTCCAACGGAGTTGAGGTCTTTCTCTTCTTCTGCTTCTACCAGCAGCTACTGCATCGAATACTTTCAAAGCTGGAGTGATTTCATCTATTCGGACCTAGCCAGCGTACCCGCTGTCTTTTCTGAACTAAGTTAATATTATCATATAGCTCGTAGAGCACATCGTTTGTTTTCGTTTGCCGGGATAGGACTTTACTTTTCAATTGCTTACTCAGTTCAAAGTAGCATCTTTTGGCAAGAGTGATTCTGCGCTGGATTTCCAGGCTGCAATTATTATTGGTATTGATGCTGGTCCATAGATAGACGAAATTATCTACGACCTCGAAGTTATGATTGTCAACAGTGGCGTGGAAGCGGAGTCGCGTCTTGTCCACAACGGCGCGGTTATTAAGGCCGATGGTGTCAATATCATCGGCGTACGCCAGCAGCTGTATAGTCTTATAGATTATTGTACCTTCTCTATTCAACTCTGCAGCGAAGAAGAAGTTAAGCGAATAAGTTTTGGGTGGATACCAAATTCAGATATAGCGGCGTAAAGGCAAGTAGCTGCCGTATTCGGCTGTAAAATCGACGAAGAGGTATTGAAATCTTCCGTAAGTCCCCGTATCTATTCGTAGAATTTCCGAGCATTAACCTTGTCACGAAGGCGAAGCATATATCAAGTTAAGATCTCTGCTTTCGATTTTGATACCCTGTTTGATTAACTGTTCGTTAATGCTCTACTCTTGGTTAGCTCGTTATTAGGGAAGCAGCTGATTGAGGTCTTACATAAACATTAAATTGATAGATTCATCGTTTCCTGCTACGCAAGTTACGATAGACGTTCTTTTAACAAATGAAAATAGTAAAATTGGAATGAATATAACTTAATGCAGGGTTTTCCAACAAAAGTTGTTATTTTAATATTTATAGAATCTTTTCCCTTACAAGATCGATCGTTTCGTTGCTTGCTTGGCACGAAACGCCGGCCATAAAAAATCATTAATCATCTCTGGATAGCGGGTTCATTTTCGAAAAAGTACGGTCCAATTTACTTCTTCAATCATTTATGCTCACAGCACTTTTGTCCAAAAATGGAATTTTTTAAAAAGAAAACCTAAAGCCTCTTAAGGTTTTTAAAATCCTTGACCACCTTTAACTTTATCTGCTAAAACTTTTTTCGAGTATATATATGATAATAATTCAACAATAAAATTCTTTAAATTTTTGCTTTAATTCTTACTTACAGCCATTGCCCATTTTGCAATTGGTGTTGTAGTAGCAGTGATCAAACACAGTTGGACCGACATTACTGGAAGTCTTGTCCTTTCTTAACAAAGTGCCCTCAATGCAGCCAAGTATTAGAAGTAGCGGCATTGAATTATCATCTGACAAGTAAGTAGTGAAGAAGAAAGCTTCTTTTTCAACTCGAAAAACTATTTTTCTTTCCATATACACAGAGGAGTGCGAGGCAAAGGATAGTTATGTGATGTGTGAGCGTTGTACAGAATCCGTGCACAAGCAGCTGTATGATCTGCATCAAATGGAAGACTATTGCCGAGGTATGATTTGTGGTGGAGAGTGGAGAGAAAATATTTCAAAAAATTAAACATAAATATTTTGCGTTTTTTTTTACTCATTTCACCACTCAGAATTGAAAACAGGTGCTGCTCGCTGCCCACTGTGCCATGATGATGTGCATCTGCCATTGGATGGTGGTTGGAAATTACATTTATTGAGTTCTATCGGCTGTCCTGGTAACACTAGACGCCGCGCAAAAAAATCAAACTAATTATAAAGTTTAGTGAATTTTTTAGTAGTGCATAGTTACATATACGTATCTACTTACATACATTCATAACTACGTAGGATGAACATTGAGAATAAAATAAACTCTGCTTCAATGGGAATTTCGCAGAGATGACTGCAAGTATTGTATTTAGGAAACAAAGATAAATATACGAAAATAATACAAATCTGCAACTTAAAGAGGCGTGGCTTGCATGACGAAATATTTATTTCGATTTTTCATATTCCATTGAATACTTTGAATGCCTTCATTAATCGGATTTAATACTCGTTAAAAGAATATAATAATAAAATGTGTTAAAACTACCCGAAATAAATCGACACATTAATACATACATACATACACATATACTAAATAAATAGAAGCAAACTCACGAACGAACACTGAAATGAAGAATTTGTGAAAAAAATAGTGAAATTACATTTTTTGAAATTAAAAAAAAAATGTTATTGAAAAAAAACATTATTACTGCTTTTATAAAAATATATGTACATATATTAACCTTTTTTACCAGCGCACTACTTGCACACATTTTTTTATAGTTTAAAAAAAATATTATTTTTAAACTAAAATAAAATTATGTACCTACTCGCTTTTAGAAATCGAAATAGAAAATGTTTATTGGTTAGCAGCGAACTAGCTAACATTAAAATCCTTAAATTATACTGTTATTATGTAATTAGTTTAATTTTGTTAATTTCGCTTAAGTGAAATGGTATTTGTATTCCTAATATGTTAAATTTGACATTTAAGATGTTTTTTTTATTTCACGTTTGTGAGTGAGACCTACATTTAATAATAAGTTTTTGTATTACATAGCAAACGTCCAAAAGATTAAACAAAAACCCATCCATAAATACACTACAAAAAAACATTCTATATGAATTAAACTTAGCTACACAAGTGATGAAAAAATCAATTAAATATTCATTGAATAACTAAATTATAAAGAATAGTCTTTTGTTATTTATAGATATGTGAGCCTAGATAAAATAAATAATTTTCTAGTTATAATACATGAGGTTCCCATAAGAGGAGTTCTTTTCAAATTAAAAAAAAATTATTTTGTGAGATAAATGATCAGATGTTTATTTCAATGTAAAGAGGAATGGCTACACTTTTAAGACCAAAGTGGCTGCTGTATGCTGTATGCCATCAATAACTTTACGAGTTTCATCTTTGAGATTTTGAATCTACGTTGGCCTGTTAGCGTAGACCTCATCTTTCACCTGGCACCAAAAAAATAGGTGGCAAGGTGTAAAATCACAAGATTTCGGTGGCCAATTGCGATTACCTCTACGAGAGATTTCTTGCTTGTTTGGCACATAGCGTCGTCTTGTTGAAAGTAACGTTGTCCACATTAATACATCCAATTCCGACCATAAAAAATCATTAATCGTTTCCTGATAATGCAATCCATTCACAGTAACGGTTGCTCAGGCTTATTTTCGAAAAAGTAACCCCGCCGAACCATACACCGCACCAACCAGATACATGTTGGGGATGGAGATGCTTTTCAACAATAAATATTGGGTTTTCCGAGCCTCTGATGCGACAGTTTTATCGACGTATCCATAGAGGTGGAAATGAGGCTCATTGGTCAAGATGATCTTTTGATGAATATCCGGATCATTTTCATCCATTTCAAGGAGCCAATCGCTAATTGGTCTCATGAGGTGCTTCACCACGACTAAATAATGTTTTAGATTTGCGAACCGCGTCTGCCAAGTTTCACCATTGAATTTTAATAAATACAATGTGTTGATGCGAGTTCTGTTCCATATTTTATTACTTTATTTTTATTTACTTTATTTTTATTTGTTAAATGTCAAAAAAATACAGCTTCAAAAGTGACACAAACGGGAATAGGAGACAATGCAAAATAACACCTTTTATTGGTAAACCCTATATAATCTACTGGATTTGAGCGCGTGACTGTGCTTTATCGTATAAAAATTCCAGTATCAACGTTGGGTCGAATTTCTTGAGCTATATTAATAAAAATTTGATGATTCTCACGAATGTCATCAACGGCAAAAAATTCTGGTCTTCACTCTCTACTGCATATCGTGTGAAAATATGCACTGAAAGTTTGCAGCGAGAATTGTGAGATGGTTTTTTAGAGATCTGCAGCAACCACATTTTGAGAATAGAGGCACGAAAATAATTCACGATGCCGTGCAAAGGCTGTAATAGAAACCGACCCTGAATTGCGTATTTATCGGGATTGATATCAATTTTATGGCTTTTTAATTAATTTTTGCAATTTAATTTAATTTTTGTACTGGATTTAACGGATTTTTAATGAGATAGGGATGCGGAGAAACCATCGAGAAATATTAAGCGCAAAATGAGCAATCCGCTTGATTTGCAAAGTCGAAGCAAGCGCAGTTTGCATTAGACATACTTTGAAAATTTGTTTGTATAAAATTTGCATGTAGATTTACAGACCAATATGGTCTTGACAAAGATGCCTTTGTAATAGTGCAGGAAGCCAATAAATACAAGTTAGATAAGCTGCCCATCCCATCTGTGCTCCAACTTGCAGCGACCCTGCGGTTTTTGACGGGATTAGGTTAGCGGAAAGTTAGGAATTGACGACAATTAAAAGCGGACCATTTTTTCACCAAGTACCGTATTCCAAACATAACTGGTCGTAAAACCCATTTTTTATGACTAACATTTTTATTAAATTTTCCCTTGCAAAGAAGTTAGCACACAATTTTGTCAACGATTAACTGCTCGGCTTAATTCTGACATCAATAAGAAGTTTCTGTAACACACAAAATCGATACTAATTCTATTTTGAAAATGAAACCGATATGAAAATCAATAATCTGAAAGTGTAACCCCAGAATTTTATCGGTTTCAATTCTGATTCTGACAACAATCTGATTCTCTAACACCCATGATTATAATTGGTTTTGTAAAACACGTAATCGTCATACATACATGATTAGAAAGTTTGACGCCAGCACTGATACCAAACTACGTAGTGTTGGTGACGAAACTGTGGCTGCCGCAATCTCTGTATACCGCTATAGTTTGAAGTACACTGTTGTGATACAAACATTAATCTCTCAAATTTAAACTAATTTCAGAGAATGCCTTTTGTTCTCTACTCATGCGAAATGTCAAAAATCGCCGCGTTGCTTTGCAAAAGAAATATAAAATTCGATATTCACTCATTTGTTCATAAGTTCAGCGGGCGGTTGTGTATTTTCCTGAAAATCTCACAATATTGCGGCGGGGTATATTACGTACGCATTTTTCTTTTTAATTAGATAAATAAAATTGTGAATAAATCCGGTTTTCCACTAACTCGAAATCAGCTTTTATTAGCGCTGCCAAATGTCGAAATGTTGTTATTAATAAAATCAATTGAGAACATGTGAAAAAATTGTGCATTTAATTTAGTAAATAAAATAAAAAATCCAACTGCTCCAGCATTGCTTTGTACGTATGAGTGCTCTTCATTGTTACATTATCCCCTTCGTACCTGCTGCTCTTTCTGCTGTCCATCAACATAATTTAACAGAAGTATCAGCCGCATTTTTATAAACTACATACACGATTATACTAAGCCGCCAATTATTCGTGTGTGGGCAACAAGCGTTTGTAACAATATATGGGAGGGGGTTTAAAGTCATTTACGTTCCTTTTCATTGAATTTGTTTAATTTTGGCACTTATGATAGTTTATGCCTACTTCCAAAGAAAGAGGCTAGTTAATAGTGAAAAGAATTTAAAGCTTCCATAAAAAGCATATTACAGCTATACGTATACAAAATCCTTCCAAACTTAGCTACAGCTGGACGAACCTATCCAGCCATAGTTTAAAAGAGTTTCGCATAAGATCTTATAAAAAAATGGCGCTCCAGGAGTTGTTAAACTACAAATATCTAACGCAGGAACAGCTAAATGGATTCGACAATTATAAAGTAAGCTATTAAAACGAAAAGTATCAGTATGTTTTAATAATAAAATATATTTTTTTTCTTACAGTATAGCGCACGTGATACCTCACCCCTCAGCGTATATGTTATGCATCCATTCTGGAATTGGATTGTCAAGGTAAATTATAAATGAGTTTAAAATCGCATTGTCTTATTCAGGATCTTAACAAGATTCATGGGGTGAATATCTCACTCATTTTATGCAATAACTGCCTATAAATATAAATTCGGTACCACTTATTCTAATGCTGATATTGTAAATGTGTACTCACATTTGTCAAAGAAATGTACGTGAAGGAATAATAGGTGCTAGGAAAATCAATAATTGTAAACAAGCCGTCTGTTATAAAGTATTGTAGACATGTGTATGTATGTATGCGTATATGTGATGTAGTTGGTGGAATGTCATGTGATTAGAAAATATAAATAAACTAAGCGCAGTTATTTATATTAAAAATGCAAAATAGATATATAATTTTTTTAACAAGATTTATGCAAGTTTGAATTATAATGTTTATAATTAATTAAGACAAAATGGACTTGAAACCGATGGTTGTAGAAATCAAGTTACTTATATTATATTTGGACTTGTTGTATGCAAAGTGTTTATAAGTATTAATTAAGTTCCAAGGCTCAAATTAATTAAATTAATTAAACTATGCATTCGTTATATGTTATAACTTAGTGTCTATAAAAAATATAAACATACTAATAATATTAATCTTTCTTTACTATCTCGAATTTATCCGTAGTTCTTTCCACGTTGGCTGGCGCCTAATGTTATGACTTTTCTTGGCTTCCTCTGCACGGTGGTGAATTTCTTATTGCTATCTTATTATGATTGGAATTTTTTTGCGAGTTCTGGTTTACCAAACACTGCGCCAATACCATCGTGGGTGTGGTTGTGCTGCGCGATAAACATTTTCTTAGCCTACACATTGGATGGTATTGATGGTAAACAAGCACGACGTATTGGCTTATCCGGACCATTGGGTGAACTCTTTGATCATGGCCTTGACTCGTATACAGCTGTGTTGATACCAACATGCCTGTATAGCATTTTCGGACGTAATGCTATATACTCTGTTCCACCTATACGTATGTATTACGTATGCTGGATGGTGTTTTTCAATTTTTATGTCTCTCATTGGGAAAAATATAATACGGGTGTCCTATATCTTCCTTGGGGATATGATTTAAGTATGTGGGGATCTACAGCCATGTATCTATTGACATGGTGGTTCGGTTATCAATTTTGGCAACGCACACTACCGCTTGGCATAACGCTCGGAAATATGATGGAGTTTGTTTTACATTTGAGCGCAATGGCAAATACGCCAATGGTGATAATAAATGTTTACAAGTGAGTTTTAGAATAATCGAGTTAATGGTAAATTTTTTATTTATTGATTTTTTTTTTATTTACTTTGCAGCTCATATATCCAGCACACAGGAAAAATGCGGTCTTTTAAAGAAGCAATGCGTCCGCTTTGGCCACTCTTATCATTCATTATTATAATGCTGTTGTGGCCTTTCGTTTCACCGAATGATATTATGGAAAAAGATCCACGCATTATGTTTATGTTGAGTGGTACAATATTTTCGAATGTCAGTGTAAGTTATTGAGGTTTTCTTGCTATTTATTATATTTAGACAATATGAAGCGTAGCAATAATTGTATTGCTTCAGAAATCGTGTGATTCATATTCCATTGAGTAGCCATGTGTTTTCGCAAGATAAACTTGTTAGACATCGTGTGATCACACTAACTTTATCTTATCACTCACCGATAGCAATCGCAATTTTTTAGCTGCCTCCATTCATGAAGCTTCAAATGGTTGAAAACTTTTATCTGTGAGTCATACCTATGTTTCGTGCGCTCTCCAATTCGTTCAAAAAGTTCCAAGTAATGCAGCAAAATTGACGAATATTTTTATGTATAACTATTTATGTAACCATATGCAAAATAATTGCGATTTTTTAAAAGTCTGTTTCAATTTTAACACTATTTTTATTGATTAGCATTGAATTGCATGTGTGTATAGAAAATACAAAAGCATCTAAGCTGCATTCTAAGTTGCTATTTTGCGTATGAAATGTGAAATTGCTGATATGTTATCTGTGTCACGCCGTGCTGCATTAATATTAAGTGATTGAGCTTGATTAATATTTTGAATATATGCGCACTTATTGCAACGCTGTCGGCGTTTGCATACAAACATATACATAAGTGCATACAGAAAAAAAAAATTCACTAAATGGGAATGCTTCAAGTAAACATTTACTATATAAAAATTTATAAATATATATATATATATATATTGTTACCCTAAAAACTACTTTGCATTTATTACATTAGACAAATGTGACTAACGAAAATGCTTAATTTTGCGTGCTTAAAGGTGCGATAACACTGCGATTTAATTATTTTAGTCGTACGACAGCTTAAACTGATAAGCACAAAATTGTATGCATACTCATATGTATTTATTGTTTATTGCACCTTAATACGTCATTGAAAATTCTATCTTAAGCATATACTAAGCACATGTTCATTGCATATACTCAAAAATATATTAAAAAAAAACGATTATTATTTTATCTCCCATTAGTGTCGTTTAATCGTGGCGCAGATGTCCAATACACGCTGTGATTGCTTCCATTATATGACGCCGGTGTTCATGTTCTTCGTTGGCATTGGTTTATGGATACCGCTACTCGAACGTGCTATGCTCTATATACTATTTATCATAACAACGTTCACACATTGGCATTATGGCACAAATGTAGTGAATGAAATGTGCCAACATTTTAATCGTATATGCTTTAGTGTGAATATGCGTGAACCGGCTGTGCGTATAGGCGAGGATGTACGTTTGCGTGATATGGAGAAAACTGACTAAACTATAAAATTGAACCAAAAAAAAGAAAAAAATTAAAAAAATTTAAAAGACCAATGTGCTTATGCAAATGAAATATGTATATGTATGTTTATTACATATGTAGATATTTTTGTTATTGAGCTGCAGGAAAAAACAAAAACACAGGAGGCTCAACTATCAATTCCACCTTATTATTAATTTTATCAATGAAAAGGTGTATTTTAAAACTAGTTGTTTAGTTCGTTTACTCATTTTTTGGGTGTAATAAACTCGTGTCCTAAAACTGAATAGACTTCAGCTACACATGCTCTCTCTATCTCTTACATTTTTGCATTTATATACCGTTACATTGCCACATTTAAAAGAATACTAATGTGCTCTCTAAAATCAGACTGTAGGAAAAATCACAAAAAAAAAGGTGTTTTATTTGACAAAAATAGAAAAAAAGAAATGTAAGCATTTTAGTATTAATTTCAGGTAAATAATGATGCAGTAAAATACATGGATCTGGCAGCTTTTATAAATTTCATAGATTTATGAAATATTATTTTGCAGTGATAGTTAAAGCTATATATTTCATAAGCGTTAAAAGCCATATAGCTTAAAACATATATTCTAATTTATTATAATCTCTGTTTCTACTAAAGCGCGTTCAATATTGAAATGCTTTTTGTGCTAAAAAAAATAATGAAGCTCGACGTTTATTTATGCAAAGCTATTTTATGTATACATATGTTGCTTTGTACAATTCTATATAAAATGTAAACACTCATCATAAACGCGTTTCACTGTATATCACTTGTCATCATAATTTCTGTTTTCCAGCATATATTTATACATCATCACATACAAAAAATATCATTTTTAAGTTAGTTTTAAGTTAAAAGTATTTATTTTGTGTATTATTTTGTTGCCAGTAAATGAATTAATTTAAATGAAGTTATATAACGACTTACCTAAAACCGCTGAACCTCTTAAATTTTTTTTAATTTATATAGAAATGTATTTAATATATAATTTACACAGTATATGTTTTTTATGCAAATTCATAAGAAAATATGTATTTACAAAATAATATTTGAATAAGTCAATATGTAATTTTTGTGTTCGTGCAACTGTGGAACTCATTTTTTTTTGTAATTAAATTTATTTAGCTTTAATCAAATTAGTTAAAATTGGCTACTTGCGATTCTTGTGTATATATATACATAAAAACTACATAAATACATCAAAGTCTTCTCAAAATAAATAAGTAAATAAATTTAAAAAGATATTTAAGTAAAAAATGTAGGAAAATCAGCTAAAAACTGGAAATCCGTTAAAAAAAATAAATAATAATTTAATTGAAATTTCTTGTCATTGAATAATACTAGCATACACATATGTATTTTTAGCAAGAAAACTACTTTAATTCAATTATACCTGATATAATGTACTGCATTTTGCGCTGTTTTGTTGCAAAACGCCTGAACTAAATATAACGATTTTGTATGCAGTTCAATACATAATTTGTTCTACGTAAATGTCTTACTCTTAAATGTTTTATTTTTGACTTTCAAAATCAACATTTTCATTCTATAATAGTTTTTACAGTTCCACTTAAATTAATTAAGGCTTAAAACGACTTTATTTCATTACGCAAACGTTGGTACATTCAGTGTTAAGCTATAAAATACACATAAATACATCAATATACAGAAAATTTTGTGAATAATACCTGCAATCGAGCGGTAAAGTTTAACTAAAAGATAAAAAAGACATTTTTATGTTAAAATATATATGGCAAAAAACAGTTTTGGAATGTTAATTTATGCAAAATAAAAGATAGTGCATATAATTTTTTTGAAAACAAATACATATGTACGTTTATACAAATTAATGAGATTATTAAAACAAATACACTGCAAGTATAAAAAAACGTATTTTTCTAACTTTTGCTATGCGTTGAAGTGGGTAGGTAAGAGCATTCCCTGCGTAGTACTTGTGCTTAAAAATATTAATTTACGCCAATTCTATTTTATTAAGCAAACTTCATAAATGAGATTATCATAAAATTGTATTTAAAGAGAATAATTAGTTATTCAAAAATTATATGATCGATATCAGTATCAAAAGCAATCGAAAGCTAAACAAGTAATTTCAATTTATTATCAACGCATAAATTACAAGTTTCTCAGAGATAAACATTTTGCAAAACAACAGTTCATTTACCTTTCCCCTAATTTTTGCACAGCTACAGCGGCAGTAGTAATTCATACGAAAAAAATCAAGAAATCTGAAGCAACGTTGTACTCATTTAATCATACATTAAGGGGAAATTTCTTATGGAGCGCCGTGCAGGTGTGCGTATATAAAACAAAAACAAAAATAAGAAACAATAGACTTACACAGCAAACTTGGCAAGAATTTAATCACGTTTCTCATGCATATCACGTACCAAATGAGCTGAGTAGACGTAATGACGCGCAGATTTTAGGATATACAATATAAACATTTCTACAATATTGTAACAAATATGCATTACAATAGTTGGAGAATTCTGTGTAGAGTTGTTTGCGCGCAAGTGATATTGGCGTATAAGTCAAGTGCAAGAGCATTTGACGGATAAAAAAAAAAACTTAAGCAACAAAGTAAAAATTAATTTTAAAGAAAACATACGGTAGAAATAAACAAAATAATAACTATGAAAAAAGTTTAATTTAACAAAATTTTCTATAAAAAATCACAAATTATTTTTAGTCACTTTTTAAACCAATAAATGCGCAAGTGATAAATATTTTTTATTGAAATTCACAAATCTCCATTTGCGCATTACCATTTACTCACCATCATCATTTAACTTTGGTAAACACAAATATTTAATACTTCAACACATAAGCAACCTTCAACTTCACCCAGCCCAATACTTGTTCAACGGTAAAGAAACGTTAAAATAGGTCATCAACGTCGTAAATGAGTGAATCAATCTATTGTGACATATTTTCTTCTTTTTTTTTTTTTTGAGGGGCGGCACTACCAATGTTAGCGTTAAATTTATTGTACTCATAAACGCTGTAAGAGGCACAGTAAATATTAGTTGTAGTAAAAAGAAATCCATTATCTTTCCGATAGACTGCGTTATTTATCTGTATCTAGCGTTGTATAAGTCCGATCGGGTTCCGCTAGGTGACGTTAGGATTTGCTTTGTTTTGTCATTTGTTGATTCAGTTTTGTGCGTCAAAGATGGACACCACAAATGAGAAAATTCGCTATATTTTACAGTTCTTTTTTTTTTTTGATAAGGTGGAAAACGCAAGCCAAGCGGCTAAAAATTTGAAAAGCGTTTATAATACTGATATTGTTACACTCAATCATGCGCAATTTCGGTTTCATTCTTGTAATTTTAATATAAAATATGGCTTACGGGGTGCAAGGGTGCCAATTGCCGAAAATGTCAATAAAATCATGGATATTGTCTTGTCCGACCGTCGTGTAAGCACTGTTTCGATCGCCCTAAGGGTTGCCCAAAGCACTGTATGGATAAAGCTGGATACGAAAAGTAAAAATTAAAGCCTTCAATTTCATGCAAAAATAATGGATTTCTTTTTACCACACCTAATATTAATTATAGAAGTGCTAAGCTGTTAATAAAATCGCTTCAATCGTGACCTCTTACTGATCACTGTTATTGTTGCTTCCGGTTAGATGGATTCCTCATATTTTTTTTGGTGATTTCAGAGTTACGCATACTTTATGAGGAGTAATAAAATATTATTAACGAATTAAAAAAATTGATATAAAAAAAATATATGGAGATTGGTTTTTTAATATTTTATTCTATAAAGAGGTTCTTAATTGCATCTTCTCACGTTGGTGAAATGGAAAAGCTGCCATACCACCTTTTTGCTGGCGACAGAGTAGAAAGCCAAGAGGAATAAGTAAAGAAAATAAGCCAAGACCAGTCTTTCGTTGTTGGACCAAAGCAAGATGCGTTGATGCACAGTTAAATAAAACAAAAACAAAAACAAAAACAAAATATAAAAGTGAGCTAACAAACAAATAAAAGCAACTAAAAGTTCTCACATCCACTATATGAGTACAAGCGCATTGCCCATGGTCCGCTGTGTGGAGATATGCCGTGCCCAGAAACTCGAAGTGTTAACTGACCGTTTGCACGCAGCACAGAACAGTTGCGTTTGGAACGCGTGAGAGTTAAGAACATTCGTAAGTTGTGCTTCTGCTCGTGTGCACACACAAATCGCTAGAGAAATAAGTTAAAGCCATATTTTGGAATTTTAAAAATTTGTTGCAAAATTGGCGTAGAGTGAAAAGGTAACGGAAAAAAATAAAAGTAATGCGTTGTGCGATTCTGATCTTTGCGGCCGTTGTCGGTGCTGCAGCGGGTCGCAGGTATGATGATCCGTCAATATCAGCAAGCTATGCCTTGCCTGCTAGTGTTACCAGTGCTGTTGCGGCATCGCGTTTGAGTAGTGAAGGTACAACAACTGCTGCTGTGCCTACTCCTGCTAAGGCAAGCCCCACAAATGCAAGTCCAACTACAACAACATTAGCAGCGGAGGCCTCCAGCGAAGTTGATGGCGGCGCCATAAGTGAAAGTACTACGGAACAAGCGGCATCAAGCACAAACACTGCTCTTACTTCAGTTTCCAGCACAACGCAGCCACAAGTGAAACCACCACAGAATGAGGAAGCTGGTGGCGAAACGTTGACTGAGTTGCCTATTGCCTCACCACCAACAGTACTTTTGCCTCCAGACAGCGATGCGGATGCACCACAGCGGCGGGTTGTCACCTATGACCAGCGTCAGGAGGGCCAATATAATATACGCGCCGATTTGGAGAATTTCATGATTGTACTCATACCACCCTCGCCCTCGGAGGGACTGAATCTACTCGATCTACTTACGAAGTCCGCTCTGAGACGTAATACTTTACGTTCTAAATCCAAGCGCAAGCATTTTAGAAATGGCGCTGACTCAACCAAATATCGCCATCCATTGAAGTCGTCCGCTACGTTGCCGACGAGTTTGCAATATGTTGGGCGCCAGCAGTCGTCTGGTGGCTTGGATGGTTCTCGCGGTTATCTGAATGCATCACCTTTTCCGCAGACGCCATTTGATGCTTTCATAGGCGCTCACGGTTCCCCATCATCGGTGCTCTCCACACTGGCAGTGCCTTCAAATCGCTTAACGGATTTCATTGAGGGTCGTACGACATCACGCTTTGACATTGCCGCCAGTGAAGAGGATGCTTCAGCTGATTTACATCCTGATCGCCCAGTGGATGTTTTACCACCACCATACCCATTAGCCTATCAGCACCTCATCAAACCGTATCACCTTGAAGCCGAACCGACAGTCATACAAGCTTTGCCGCCACCAGAATTGAATAGCGCAACCGCACGTATTTCCGGAAATTATCTCGATAGCTACAATCAACTTCTTGCGCCTGGTCTTTCGGCCGGTCATAATGCTGCCACTGGCGATGTTGCTACTATTTCGACCACCACAACTACTTCGGCGGCCATACCAACCGACAGTAACACTGGCTATTACCGCCTTTCACGTGCTATACGCGGTGATAGTTATCTAGATACGAACCGCGTTAATTCACTAAATAGCATACACCAAAGCGACATGCAGCCAATTTATCGTGCCGATCACTCGTTGGGTGCTACTTATCTTTACCCGCCGATCGATACACCTCGTCTCTACTTCAATCCAGAGTCAAGCGGCAAAGGTTTTGAGGCGCCGCACGATGCCGTAGATCGCTCGCAGGTTGTTGACGATGTTGACGATAATGCACGCGTGGGTGAGATGTATGTGCCGCCGCGTGAACTGAAGGATGACATTGAGTGGGAACAGTTTTTCGATTCTATAGCCAAGGAAGCAAACGATTCATTGTGCCTGCCCGGCCAACGACGCGACAGCTACGGCAGATGCCGTCAAGTTGAAGGCTATTGAGTTTGAAGACTGCTCTGAACTACACACTAATATCTTTAATAATAATAAATAAAATAAATAGATTTAGTGAAATTGGACGAAAGTTTAATTACTTAGTAGTTTTTTAAGAAGTGAAAAGTTAAAAACCCCAAGCATTTAAAATTTAAAATTGTTTACGAATAATTATAAATAATATAAATAAATATAATATATTAAAAAAAAATTATTTTTTCATATAGTTGTAGTGAAAAGTATTAAATAAAGTTACGTTTTGGAATGCTATAAAAAAAGGAAAACTAAATTTGGAGATTTAACGTATATAAAATATTTTTTTTCTGAAACATAAAAAATTTATGTATACAGATAATATGACAAACATATACATACTAAAATTCATCGTTTGGTTTGAACATTGTTTGAACAACCTGTTCAATGTTCATTATCTAATGCTCATATATAGATCAAATTAATAAATAAATTCGAAAAATTAAATTTCTATAATTTTTGGATGTTGATTGAACCAGGACTGGTACCTTGACTTCAGAATAGTAGTATTAGTATTAGTTCTTCGAGAGGACTTTACTTTACAGTTGCCTACTCAGTTAAAAGTAACACCAGGCTGACATAATTATTGGTGTTAATGTTGGTCTCTAGATAGAAGAAATTATCTATGATCAGGGAATTATGCTCTTATGATTTGCTACAGCAATAAATTAAAGAAGTTGCATTAAAAGAAAACCTCGTTTGTCTGTATCGCACCTCTCTTCAATGGTCTTTTCCAAGATTTTGCGTATCGTGAATATCTGGTCAATGATTGATTTTCAAGGCTTAAAGTCACACTGAGTGATTGCTTTAGTCTTTCACACAATGCGTCCAATGGGGGTCATCCTTTAATAGATTGGGCAGGGCACAATTGAGTTCCAATCGTCGGACATGTCAACCTAATACTAAAGAAAAATATACGTGTAGTAGAGGTAAAAACGGAGGTTTTTTTTTGGGAAAGGAAGATAATTTAATAAATAAGGCAAATATTAAAATCAGAGCTGAGAAATGGCATCAGCAACAAAATAATGTGACTCCTGAAATCCTAAGCCAAACTCATCATATCAGTCGATATTCCTTTCTGTCACGTACACGCTGAGAATATACGATGAGCCGGAATCTGGAGTTTTCGAAAAAAATGTTTTTCTCTATCTGAATATACCTGAAAGTATTTGATCAGGTAACCGCTGGCAGAAGCAGAGAATGAGGAAAATCTCGAATATCTCCAAGTGAAGAAGTATTGTGATTCACTTGGTCTACCTAATAGGCGCCAACTAAGTAGAAAAAAATCAATCGAATAATCAATGCTTACTTTTTTCAATCAAAATATGTTTTAATCTGTGATTTAACTTTTCTCCAAGCTTTATTGTTAAAATTTCTAACAACATTAATAATACAAATTGTAAAATATCTCACTTAAAAGGAGGCAACTTTGCATAAATTTTAGGTCACTCCATTTTTTTGGAAACACATCAAGATGCACCCCTCAAATGGGATGAGGAGCTCGTCCGGAAATTGTTTCAGCGGCCAAAAAGCGTCAATTTATTTACTAACGTTTATTTTGATTGAAAATATAAGAACATCAAAATAACACTCAAATGTGGTAAAAAGATTTTAAATTAGAAAATAAAGATGATTTTTTACTATAAATCATAAATTACAGATTAAATTGAACAAATATTATCAAACCCAAAAATTACAATTATTTTTGATCAAAATATAAAAATCTCTTAATACACTGGTAGATCAAATAAAATTTAATTTAATTACATTTACATGATTGCCTTTATATAAAAATTATAACCGTTTCGGTCACTCTAGACAGTGTTATGCTCACCAATATACATATCAACGGTTATGGATCGATCCGATGGTTATCATTTAAATCATTACACTTGCTAATAACCTACACGGTGTGTCCCAAAAATAACCGAACTTTTTTGGATATAAAATAAAATACACATTATATTATCTTTGAAAGTTATTATTTATTCAAAATAGGTTCCATTTGACTCAACACAACGTTTGGAACGATCAACCAGCGCATGCATAGATTTTTTTATGTCATTTATAGAAATGTTCTTCAGTACCTCGGTTACGGCTGCTTGAATGGCTGGGATATCATCATAAAATGCTCCCTTCATCTTGGTTTTCAGTTTTGGAAATAAAAAATAGTCACATGGTGATAGATGAGAAAAATCCCTTTATTCATTAAAAATTCGAGCGATTTTTTAGTCGTCATTTAAATCATGTGGAACAAATCGCGCACAGACCTTTCTTTTCCCCAAATCTTCAGTTAAAATTCTCCAAATAGTGTTTTTACTCGTATTCAATTCCTCAGACAACATTCTCGATACCAATGATTTCACAGACTTTTTCCACCAGTTCAGCACGATTACTAGTTTCTGGGCGTCCTGCTCTAGGGTCGTCATTTAAATCCTCACGACCATTTTTAAATCGTGTAAACCACGTATAAACTTGCGTACGACTCATACAATCATCACAATAAACTTTTTTCATTAAATTTTTTCAAGTTTGACACAAAATTTTATATTTGCTCTTTGTTAAATTTTATTTTTGAACCATTAGCATAGTCATCCGACTTACTTGATGTTAGGTGCATTTGAAAGTGGATGAATGTATCTTTTTAATATTGCAAATTTTTAATAGATGGCGCTGTATGTTGTATCATTTAAATATAAAGTTCGGTTATTTTTCGGACACACCGTGTAATATATTAAATATTATGATTTTTTTCAACAAAATCTACATTTGACCTACAATATAAAAAAATTATGAATCGATTTTTGTGTTTTTATGTTTTTTTCTGTCTGTGCTTACAAACAACCGTTAATCTGATACATCAATATTTTAATAACGGTTTATCAACATCGTATTTAACAGTCTTAACCACTGTGGCATTTGAAAATTTTGTTTTTCTATAGTTAGAGCATTATAATTTACAAACATGAATATCTTGAACAAAATTGTTTACTCATCAATAATAGAAATTTAAATGTTGCATTTAGCGTATGAAAAACAAAAACAAATATTTATCTATAAACTTATTAACATGCAGTAGTTGTTCCACATACACTTATACATATATACATACATATATTTACTAAGCTCCTCGTAATGCTTTCGAATTTAATTTGAGGTTAAGAGATTTGAAAATTTATTATTTACTTTTTACTGAGTGCTGTTGTAGAATTCTATATTTACTAAGCACATACTTATTTGTTTGTATGTATGTACATACGTATGTATAGTAAAATAGGCAGTTTGCCAAGTAAATTAACGTTGAAATATGGATAAGAAATGTAAAAGGGTTGTATGTATTTTAGAGCGCTTCTGTACATATGTATGTATGTATGTAGCTTTCCGCCTACTTAAATGCGTTAATGATATGTATGAATATAGACTTTTATAAAGCAAATACAACAGACATTACTATTTATGCATCGATTTTAGTTCCGCGTTTGTCTTGCAAATACAAACACACTTATTTACATATCGTACATATTGTACATATACATACATATATTTCTGTAGTGAATTCTCACAGTTTTCCGGTCATTCGTTCCTCAGTCGCAGGCGCTAATTAAATACAACAATAAAAGCCGGCTAATCACTTAAGAAAAACTCTATATGCATATGTGTACAGTTATTTACAATAAATAAAAACTTTAAAATCTTCCGTCGTTGAAGCCCGTGAAATTAATATAAAAAGTTATTGAATGAACTGCGCGCTCATCCTCGGTTGACGTACAAGCTCAGCGAAATGTAATACCCACAATTAAATATTCTGTATTTTCCAGTTTTAAATGCAGTTTTTAGTAGCAAAACGCATTTCATTTATTTTTACTTTTATTTTTTCTTTTTGATATATTGATTACATGATGCACTTACAAAAATTTGACAGAAAAGATTTTTTGATTGATTTTAATTTTTTGATGAAAACATTCTAAACCGCCTGAAAATAATCTTTTTTATTAGATTTCAGATAATACCATGCAAGGATTTTGAGTTTTTTGTGAGTATGATTTATTTTTCTTTGTATTTTTGTTCACATGGTAAAGTTTAGCATTTTTTATAATAAATTTTTTAATTTTAGAAACTTGAAAATAAATTTTTTTAAAAATCAAACTGGTAGCGCAAAAATAAAGCAAAAGTCGGAAAATCTTTTTATGCTAAATGGTTAATATTTTTGAAAAACCTTGGAGTGAAACTGCTTGGTTTTTGTATCATGATTGTAGGTAAATACATATCGAAATTTTTGATACTAAACGTGTTTGCTCAGAAATGTTTAATTTGCCATTTATATAAGATTTTTTAATTATTTTTGGGGTTATCTCCTAAGCAGATGCTATAATATTGCATACACGTATGGATCTTCAAAAATATTTCGTTTTTCTGTAGTGGCAGAAGTGAGAAAAATATTTGCTAAATATATAAATAAAATGTTTTTTTTTTTGGAAACTTCGGCTTATAGGTTTTCTCAGCTATATGCGAAACGTCCGTTGTTGTTGTAACCGCAAAAACTATTGGATTTTAGTAGCCTCTTACGGCATGCATGCTTTACTGCGGGTAAATTCTTGAACCCCTAACCCGCAGGGCGAAACGTTCGCGATTAGGGTCTCTGGTCATAGGGACACTCAGGGAACTGCGGGGCGATGAGCTGACCGGGTAGGGATAGTCATAACCTCGGTAAACTCACCGGTACGTTATCGACAATTTCTTCTTCAAAGCTTGCATATCTAGGCATCCTTAATCTCCTGAACTTCGCAAAATACACCAAGCGGTTTAAGGAATCTTCCTCACAGAACTAACGTAGGAATCATCTAGAGATCAGGATTTCATGATCGAGCAAGCTGCTTAACTAAATAAATGACTAATATCAACATTTAGCGGTTAGATTGAATTAAAAAGTGTTTGGAAATTTAATCGACTTTCGGCGTTATTATGAGATTTTTAGAATAACTGCTCTAAAAAACCAAACTTAGATGTAGCGAAGCAAGTCGAATCCTCATCATCATGAATTCGATTTAAATTTTGGTGGGCGAGTCTCTTCCCTTTCTGATACTTTTCCACAAATTTAATAAAGTTAAGCCACTATCAGGTGCTGGAAAA